GAGAGAGAGAGAGAGAGAGAGAGAGAGAGAGAGAGAGAGATGTACAGACGGACGATGCTTTTCTTGTCTCTGTAGATGCCCGAGTCTGCCTGAAGAACGCCTGGTGGGGTGACAGGAAAAAAACCAACCGATCATGTTTTATAGTTTTAGTAAGAGTTTTACTGTGCTATCAACATGACTAGGTGGTCATTATATTAGAAGTGTCGAAGATTAAAGGTGTTACAGAAAAAGAATAAACAAAAAAGAAGGAGGGGAGATAAGAATATTGGATGTTTGATAAATAGTGGGAGAGAAAATCACTCCAGAGAACCACCAAACAAATAAAAAACAAAACAAACGACAAACAACCCCCCCCACAAAAAACCACGAACACAAAAACAAACAAAAAAATAACAAAAACAACAATACCAAAAAACCCTCTGTCTTTCGCCATTCTACGTGCCTCAGCTGTTTTGCTTCTAAGCGAGAATGTTTCTGTCTTATTTGTATCTTCTATCACGTCTCCCCTTTTCTCTCTTGAACTCTCAAGATTGCCACTGGCTACAAACAACTACTCTCCCCCGTCCCCACCCCTCCGTACCTTGCACGACTTTGGACAGATCTCTCAGGTTGAAGACATAGTGGGACTTGGCCGGAGTGGGCAGGAGGTCAGTGCTCAGCCGGAAGTACAGCTCCACGGAGGCGTTGACCAGTGGCTCGGCCAGGGTGCGAATGTTTCGCGGGAAGTCCAGGAAGAAACCGCCGATAATTGCCTTAGGACCAAAAAAAAATCAAAAAAAATCCACACTTTAATTCGTCGCTTTAAAGCACAAGGGGGCTATCCGAAAAATGCTGTTTTGAGAAAATCGAAGGTAAAGTTTTGCCCCTTGTTCAGTTTCTTTAAAAGACAAGGAGAGTTTGTTTTGTTTTTGTAAAGTGTTTTACGGCGCTCGTAACTGCATAGGGTCATATGAGCGCGCGGGACACACCTAATATTTTAAGTTGGTAGGAAATTTTGAATTTTGCCCGGGTGGCGGCCGAAGCCTACTCTTATCGATTTTAGACCACCAAGGGATCTTTAACGTGCGCAACTTGCACACGGGCCCTCCGAGATTTTTCGCCCTTATCCGAGAAGGCTAGATGTAGATCTTTCCTACCAGAAGATCAGGGGTGTGACAGAAAGACAGCAGTAAGGAGGAGCCAAGGAGTAGCAGGAGAAAGGCTGCAGAAAGAGTCAGGAGCCCAGAGGAGGGGGCAAAGTAGGTGAGGGGGTGGGGGCAGAAAGTGGAAAAGAAAGCAAACAACAGAACATTGCTAGAGAGCAGGAAAGGAGGTGATAGGAGACAATTTTAGAGAAGAAAATGTTTCGGTCGCTACCCGGATTCGAACCCGGGACCTTGAATGAGAGGCCAACACTTTAACCTCTAGGCCACGAGAGCTCCCAAGGAGAGTATTCTCTTTTACCAAACAAATATACACACCAATAAAACCAAGCTTCTCCATTAGGTAGAGCAATGCCCACTTTTGGTGTAGGTCAAGATTTCTGAAAACCCCCGAAATCTGGGAAGCCCACTTGTCCTTAAAAGCGACAAATTGATCCTCGATACGAGACTTGGGTAAAACATCATGTGTAACCGAAACAACAATTCGCTATCTTAGGATTGCCACGTTCTAACTGACATTTTTGGCCGTTTTGAGTAACTAAGGCCATGCAGACAGAAACCAGTAAATGTTCTATCTGCCTTTTTAAAATTGTAAGATGATTCAGAGTTGTTGCTGAAAGAATTGCACTCGAATAAGTTAAACAATATAATGAAAATAAGAAAAAATTAACGTCAAATTTCTCAAAACTAGGTACAAAACTGACAGAACTTCGTAATTGTTGGGTAGCGTATTGGAAGGGAGGCGGGGGTTGAGGCCAGTGTATTTATGTACTCACAATAAACATAAATGTACTCACAATAAACATAAATGTACTCACAATAAACATAAATGTACTCACAATAAACATAAATGTACTCACAATAAACATAAGCTTGAGGCTCTGTTCCGTGGGCGGCGGGATGCACAGCATGCTGAAGTGACGGAACAGCCGGGCAGACACGGGGTTACGCCCCCCTCCCGGCGGGGAACACGCCGCGGACAACGTCACATCCTGTGGAAAAGTTTTTTTTTCCATTTGCGCTTGCGATACAGATAGAATAAATGCCGGGAAGTACAGGTGTTACTTCAGGGTAACTTACAAATTTGAAGGAGGGAGGTTGTAGAACCCATTAAACAATGTGTTAGTCAATATTCTAAAACAAAAATTAACTAAAAACCGTGGTCTAAGAACAATAATATAGTCCTTGGGTTATGTCCGACTTAGACCAAAAGTGAATTAGGCCATTTATGTTTCCCCTAGTCTTCATTATATGATTAAAAAAATAGAGTTCCAATAAATAAACACGAGAAAGCTTTTCAAAAAGTTAACCTGAGTCACCAATGTTAAAAAGACAAAACACTGTTTTTGTCCGCTATCTCAAAAGTCAGTTGTTGAAACGACTTGAGCCAAAATGTTAGCTCAACAACAATTATTTCCATAAAGGATTATCTTTATCCGAGACTTGGTTAGCTTTAACTGTCTTCCCAAGCTCCGAACACGCTGGAAGACGAACAGAACACTCGAGACGGTTGACTGACTGTACCTGGATGTCTTTCCAGGTCATGAACTCTCTGTCGTAGAGACCGCCAAAGTCCAGGTATTGACGTAACAGTTCTATGGGCGGCTGGGAGCCGTAGGTGTCCAGTTTTGGCATGTTCAGGTCGTCGATGAAAATAATCACCCTCTTTCCCTTTGGAGCTCCTATTTGATGAAGATGAATCGGTTAATACATATAAATTGTAGAGTATTGATCAGCAAAAGGTAAAAAAAAAGAAGGGAAATGGGATTTGATATTGTCTACAGCATTTTTATGAGAATTTAGTTCTATGAGACTAAAGCAGAGATAACAAGGAGCGAAATTCATTTATCATAGCTTGTTTGCTTGAGTGGAATGAGTGTAAAATGTTCAATGGTCCTATTGATGTACCAGAGCAGCATGCAGATGGATACAGCACAAAAAGCTAAATAATGACACTCCTTAGACGGGGTTCAGAGCAACTGCTACATGTACCGATTTTCGGAGCAAAGGTAGAAGGCAAGAGAAGAAGGGGTAGACCTGACAGAAGACATGGACAAGACATAGAAATCTGGCTTGGAATCAAAACAACTCAGCCAGGCAGAACGGCAACCCCCGCCCCCCCCCCAACAAAAACAAGAACCAACAATAACCAAACAACAAAAACCCAGAGCGTTTCATTGTAGAAATTATGTCTGGGAAGGAACGTCCGATCACTGGGAAAGCCATGGAGCAAAAGCAGTAATTAATACTCACCAAAGATATTTTATTGACATGCATGTGCCAGGACAGCCTAGAACGACAATACTGACCAATGATATTCCATTGACATGTACCAGAACAGAGTACGACAATACTGACCAATGATATTCCATTGACATGTACCAGAACAGAGTACGACAACACTGACCAATGATATTCTTCCGTCGTTTTTCCAGCTTCCCTTCAATCATCTCCTGCGTCCTGTTGCTGCTGGTCTGCGCCGAGAAATTGATGTAGATAGGCACATAGTTGAGGCGCTCAGAGATACGGTCCAGGAGGTCTCGGGCGACCACAGACTGATCCGTGGGGAGGGAAAGAAACGAAATGAATACATGTGTGGATAAAAGATGAGCACATTGGGATGGCTATGCATCGCTATATTCTTTTCTTACCTCTTTGGGAGGAGAGATCGTCAATGGACGTGTCCGGAATGCAAGAATGTTGCTTTCTGAAACAATGGACAACGGACCTCTCTGGGATGCTGCAATCTGCGTCGCTACTCAGCGGAAAATCTACAAATATCGGTGTGTATTAATGTTAATTTATAACAAGCACAAGAGCAACATTTCACTGGCGACACAGTGTGATTTTACTGTGCTGGAAGGATATATAATCATGGATGTGAGAAGGTCGGTCTCGGATCAAACAAGTGTCAGGAATACTGCCACTCTCTCGTGTGGAGTAAACTTTTGTGTACACAAGCAGAATACATGTGCTTTAATCATACTCTACTAAAAGTGCAAATGTGGAAACAGATCGTGGTTTAAAAGTAAGATAAATCCAACTCTAAAGAAATGAAATGCGAAAAAGCCCCCATCCCCCCAACA